ACAAACAGGTACATTTACCTGCTTTCTGTTTTGTCAAAACTATGATGTGACCACTGTCACACCAAGCCATCACCAATGCTGCTTCCTATTAGAGCCAGCATTTCCCACGCTGAGATTTAATACAAACATAGAAACCACCTGCTGTAACTTAAACCAAGAAACAAGTACGATTATTCCAATACAGTAGTCTTTTCACAAGAATGAGTATGTTTACAGTAATTGCACCGTAACACCTTTTTAATATTCGAGTTACAATTTTTATTGCAGATCGTTGCATACTTCAAGGACAGCTGTCAATATCTGGGGTATAATCTAAGTCTTACAGAGATTTAAGACAGGGTCAGAAAAGCCAAATCACCGCAGCTGGATGAGGTGATAAGATGGAACATGCACAACCCACCCATGGCCAAGCACAGGTTAAATACACCCTGTTTTGCTGTATCTCTCAAGGAACAATCAAGACATGGAAGAGAGATGAAAAATTGAGCTAAATAAGCAAGAGGAACCTGTCTTCAGTTGTTGACTCCCAGAAAAAGCAAGGCTGGAAGTGAGGGAACAACTGAACAACTGCTGCTTTTTGGGGCTCTCTTGAGGGACAGAAAGGACTCAACATGGAAGTGCTACGTCGTAGAGAATCTGTAATAAATTTAACACCCCCTACACTAAAGAAGATTGAGTATGAGTGCTTGTTACCTTCCCTTTGGATCAAAAAAGGATAAACACTTGAGGTCTCAAACTGTCTTTTATACACTAAAACATTCTGTTGACCATATGGATACAAAATCCTGATAAAATCTGAAATCCTTCCCATTTTACTCTGCAGAAGTACTCTACTTCTTTCTTGCAGAAAAAATAATTACTTGCCAAGTGTTACAGAACTCATCCCTGAACATTAAAGCATCAACTGCTGTAATACTTACAGCAAGTCCCTCAAATCACAAACAGTACTTCAGTGCAACAATCCTCCACTGGGCCACCATTTGGCTTTGTAAAACAAAACGCATGATCCTAATATTTCAAGAATTCAAATCACACCCTGAATGAAGGTTTCACTTTTTTCAATATCCGTATATGCTCCATCTAACCTGTGCAAGAGCACTAGCTTCCACTCAAATAACAATCAAAAAGTAAAAGGAATGAAACCTTCTGTACAACACAACAAAACCTCTCCCGTCCGATGTGAAAAAAGACTGCATTCTCCTAGAACAAGAAACTTCAAGGACTTTTTTTAATAATTTATTTTTGAAATAGTATGAAAAGGTTATTTTGGAATTTCAGCAGAAGATTCCTTTAAGCCTCATGAAAGGGAAAAAATGTAACATTACACTCACCACCTCTTGAATAAAAACCTTCTATTCAAGTCAAGTCAGGAGATGAGCAACCACAAGCAAAGTTCCACTGTCCTCACCAACATTGGCTGTGTTCACATTCTGGTTTTGAGGGATCCAGGAATTAATTTTAAAAACCCATTTGACTAATTGTGCCTGATCTCGATAAGCAAATAAGGTTTTTTTCCATAGACCTGTGAGTGTTGTAAACATTTTGGGTGTTTCAGACAATCCTGTTTTCCCTATTCACCTCTTTTTTCCAATGCTGTAAAACAGATTCAAACAGCAAAAAAGGTGAAGATTACAGAGGCAGAATGCCAGCTCAAAAGTGACATAGATTATCCTCTAAAACTGGGTACAGGCCCTCTGTCACAAGGCCTTCTCCCTTAATTTTCCAAGTACTAAATAGCAGGGAATGGGCCACCCCATAGGTATTACTGATTGTTTTAATGTAAGCTTAGTTTTCTAACTCAACTCTGTAAACTTCCAATTGCAGGTATTCACAAGTCTATGATTCTGCCAAGATGGCTGGAAAACCATCTTCCTTAAACCCGTATCAGTTACTAGTTACCAAGTAGCTATGAAAAAAAAATTCTGACAACAAAATTGCATGGTAAGAAATAGGTAAAGAAGCCAATAGTTTATTGACAAGCAGACTGGTTTTCCCCGTGGAGGGAAAAAAAAGCAGGGAGCAACGAAGTATTACAGAAATTATAAAGACAAATGGGACTAAGAAAAACACATAAAAAGGACAAAACATTAGAGAGTAATAGGTACAGGACAGCAACAGAGCATTCACATGTACAGTGAAAGACATAAGGGCATGTATCAAAAAAATCTAGTATTCACTTAAAGATGCCAGTGCTCTCCCTCCTACTATGTTTTCACACAAACGTTCCAGCAGCAACAGAAGATACCAAGCTCTGGGCATGTAAAAGCAATTCCTATGCCAAAACCGAAGAGGAGGCAACTATAAGGGGAAGATGTCTCATCAATTTCACTTAATCATTTACAACATTGCCATCTAACCAGCACTGAAAAATCACTAACAGTAGATTTGTTGCTTCCGAGCGGTGTGCAATGAGCTTTCCTTCTAGCACAGCAAAAACCCCTCCTGTCACGCATAACAGGAACACAGTGGGTCAAAACTCCTTTCACGGTGAGCCTATATCGCAATAAATACCATCTGTCATTCGGTGAGTGAATTACCAAAATGTTATCTCAGATATATACATCAGCTATAACTCCATAAAATGGAATTACTTCTTCCAAATTGGCTTAGTATGTATTTGACAGATTTTTAGGTTGGGTTTTTTTGCTAATATTTTTGTTAAAAATAGTACTTCTACAGGCACAATAAAGAGAAGCCATTACACGTTGTTCTTTCAGAACGCTTCCAAAATGCTGGTGCTGTAACTTCACCTCTATCATGCCACAAGCACCTGTCAACAGCGACATTACATGAAGCAGTGAGCATTTGGCAACTTGCTACTGCTTAAATACAGGAGTTGTACATTCAACCAATTCAGCTCTGTTGCAAAGGAAAAAAAAAGTAGATAATTTTCCACTGAAAAAGAAGGTTTTTTTCTAAATTACAGACTTATTCACTTACAGTGGGAAACAAACTACCCCAACCCAACTATGAATGGTATCTCTTAATTGCCTAAAAAGAACAGTTAATAGACTACAAAGTTAACATACAGGCAGAGAAAATCCGAAACGCAGTAAGTTACAAGAAATGAAACTGCAGAGTGTCTCTCTAAAATACTGTACACATTCCCTCCCCGCCATGAAATCCAGAGACAAAGCATCACTAACCTATTTGTTGATTTTGTAATCATTTCATTCTACCGACTTAACTGTCCCATCCAGAAAACAGCCATAAACTTGAACGTTTTTCCTGCAAAAAAGTATACACTACCCTCTCTGGCTAAATAAGTTTTTAACTACGAAAGAAAAAAAAAAATATCAAAATACCAAACCCACTTTAATCAGACTAAAGAACGGAAGAACACACAGGGTAAATCTGAAGACACAATCCTAAATACTTTCATTTTTTAAACAGTATAAAAGTCCCAAACCCACACTAGCATAAACCCAGTAAACCTACAGAGGAAAACTAGAAAGAATCTGCAGGTGAGTCCTTACATGTTCCCCCAGGGTAGAGACCATATATGCACCTGGGTACTGACTGTACTTTTTTACATAGTTGCCAGGATTCAGATGCCCGACACTGGTGAAAACCCACAAACAAACAAAATCCCCCTACAAGCAGCCTTGTGTAGGAATTATTTTGGAAGAGAACCTTAGTCCTCATGATGTGAAGAAGCACTATTAGCACAGGCTGGACACACAGAGGCCTTAGATGCAGAACAAAAATCAGCCTGGCTAACTGACCTGCTTGCACCCTATCTCAAATTCAGTCTGTCACAGTCAAAAGGTCATCCTGAAAGTACTAGTTTTTCCCTTCTCTACAGCGGCTATCCCTTACTTAGGCTAATCCAGGGACTAAGTAATACTCCTCCAACTCTTCAAAGCTCATATTATCCTCTCATTAGTACTCAACACTGAAGAGAGAAGTTGGGGAGGTTTTCTTTCTGATCATAAAAGGCAGTTGACAAATTAGCAGAGAATCTTCTCCAAAGGAAACATGAAGCATTTGTCTTTCTCAGTCACTCATCTGATTTTTGTTGAAAACTTATTTACAACATTGGCTAGTATCCTCCCTGTAGTCTGTGATCCTCTGGGCAATAGACTCTTCAGCTACACAGGGCTAATCACTATTCCTTAATCATTCCTAAAAAGCATGGCATTTGTTCAGAAGACAACTTCAGAATTTAAATGAAACACTTAAGTCAGCCACCTGCTTTGGTCTATTTACAGGACTACCGGAGACATGACTCTTAGCTGAAATGCAGTTACAGCACATAAAGGCTCCAATTGCCAAGAAAACCCTGGATTTCTACTGCACCTAATTCAGAAATTATGTGCTGGAAAGATTTTCTATTTAAAGCACAAGCATAATAAACGTAGATGAAACCAACACCTTTGAGTAAATCTATTCGTGCTATTCTATTACTGTGGAAACTGCAGTCGTTCTACTGCTACGTTTTAACTGACACACAGAGTGACTGAACGTCAGATCTAATTATTTGCTCTACAGATTCATTTTTGGGGGGTTTTTTGGCTGAACAAGCAACAGCACAGGCTATGGCTGATACTGCCCATATGCAACATTTGACTGATAAAAGTGGCTACTACCTCCGAAGAGAAAAAGCGCTAACCATAATTATCTTTTATGTTGAGGGCTCTCTTTGGGCCTTTTCTCCACACTGATTTATTTTTTTTCCGTTAAAACCTTGAACATTTCCCCCCACCCCTCCCCCAGAAAAAACAACCATCTTTCACACCTCTATTTCCATTGCCAAACGTGGTTGAAATCAAACATGTTTCCCAGAAACTGGCAGGGGGTGGAGGGCAGATGGGAAAACAACGTGGCTGCAAAGACGACTTACTGCCTTAGAGACACCAGACTAAAAGGATTAGTTTACGTGTCACAACAAGGTTTTCAAGTTAAATACATTTGGTTAAAATATCTTAAAATACTCTACATAACTCTAAATTTGAAGCATTAAGCAATAAGAAAACTGATGTGTCTTTTCAAATTGTTACCTCAACAATATCTGAGTTGGTTCTGCTTTCATGGGGCTCGTTGTATTCTGTGTATTTAAGTAGAACTTTGTCCATATCAGTGCTGGCGTACTGAAAGAGTTTGTTAGAGCTGTTAAAAATGATGAGTGCTATTTCACAGTCACAGAGTACACTCAACTCATATGCCTTCTTCATTAATCCAAACTTCCTCTTTGTAAAGGTGACCTAGAGAAGAAAAAAGTGATATATAATCATTCCTCTTCAACATATTACGAGGGCTGGAAGGACTACAATCAAACATCTAAGGAATACCAAGTGAGCCTACAGTATTTATTCTTACTGAAAAGTGACATAACACATACACAAGCTTAAGAGAACTGCCCATCACAACTGAGTGCCACTTTCAGGGCCAACGCTCCGTACTAGGCTACGCTAAACAATTACACTCCCAACTCTTCCACTGGTATGTAACTACCAAGGAGAATGTATAAAACCACCAAGAGTTAGAGTTTGTAAGATGCTCTAACCATATTTTCCTTCTGTTCAACCAATACTGACTTTCCAGGTATCACTATATTTTGTTCCATGATGATTGATTAGTTATTCTGCAGCTGGTTTACTCAAGTTATTCACAACCTTAATTCTAACAAACCTGAAGAAAATAGCAATATCAGTGGAAGTTGCTATGTGATATGATTTCTAATTATGCAAACTTACGAAATATACATATTTTGTTGCTATTAAACCATCTAATCAGATTCACTAATACTCTTAAACTGTTTTCTACCACTTGGGAACATGGTGAATCAATTGTTCTGCCCGATTAGAACTGCTGTGAGGAAATAAATCCGTTACCGACCACATACCAAAGGAGTATCTGCCCACTGGGGAGGGAGGAAAGACACTCAGTTACAAAAACACCATCAGTTACAAAAAAATAAAACTTTTAAAAATGTATTCCTTCCTCAAGATTTAAGTTGGGTAAGGATAGAATAGTATCCGTGTATTCAACATCAAGTTGAATTCAACACAGGCCAACTTTTCTTACACAATAACATTTTTACTAAATAACCTCTTGAGTCTCTTGAAAAGGCACTGAATCTACTACAATGAAGTCAATGTTCTGAGAACTTCTATAAATAAAGATGCTATTTTTGGCCCTAGCTTTTCAATGTGAGCTTCAGTGCTGAAGGGAACACCTCTGTCTACAGCCATGCTCACACCCCCGTATTACAATACACAGTACAGGCTTCTGTGACAGGTGGGTGACCTACACACCCTACATGTTTAACAGACAACAGTGAAAACAGTTTTGCAAGGTATGGAATGAAGTAAAACACAAAACAAGCAAACCTGTTTTATGGGTTTATAGGGGTTTTTGTTTTAATTATCTAGGTGTACATCAAGTTTTTGGAAGACAGATGGTAAAACTGTGTGTACACACCTCAAAGCATTTTTTCCAAGATCAGTATCTCATGCATATTACTTTTGTAATACTATCCCTAATATAAAACAGCCACTATTCTTCCCACCACATAAACAGTCTCAGAGGGATGCAGACAGATATACTAACAACATTATGTACATACCATGCTGACAATAACTGTATTATTGAAACAGTATATGCACACTTTGCTCTTCCACCACAAACATTTGCAAAGGTACTGTGAACCTGAGCTATAAAACAGTATTCAGGCCAAAAAAAAAACCCCACATCTGGTTTAGCATGTGGCCACTTCCCCTAGAAAAAGACCCAGAAAGATAAGGATATGGAATGTCGGATATATTATGACAACCATGGTTCCACCGCAGTTCCTGAGCAGTGTTTCTAACCTAGAAACTTCTGAGGGTTTAAAAGACCACTCATCGCAGAGCCTCATGAGAGGCTTTGATAATCCATGTTAGATGAGAAGTGAGTACTTACCATAACGTTTTTATTGAAGTCTTTTAAAGCACGTTTGGTGAGACGCTCCATTAAGACAGAGCACTCTCTCTCAAACAATTTTATGTAGGAGTGCTGTAACACAATCAAGGTACGACTAGAGCAAGCAGATCTTTTTACCTACTTATTGTTTAAAGAATTACGATACATTAGTGAGATAAGAAGCCAAAAAATCTGACAGATTTTACCTTAATGCATCTTCTGCTCAGATTTTCTCTTCAGTTATCAGTTCAACAAGCTGACCAAGTACATATGTAGGTTTTACTGGGCTGTACTCTTCCCAAGTGATTTACTATCCACATACAATACAATACAGATGTTTTTTAAAAATCAGGTCTTGTGTAAATCTCCTAGAAGTTCAGTCACTTTACACATGCTTTCTTTTCAGAACACTTGGGGTTTATTAATCCTGTCCTGATTGGGACATTAAGAATTACTTTGTCCAGATTGCTCTGAGGGCTTGGGGAAACCACGGGGGTTCTTTAAATAGCTGCTGTTCTTCTGATACTTCAATTACAAGACATTTAAGACATTATTACCCAAGGATGAGCAGGTATAGACAGACACAACCGGTTAGTTTTTGTCAGGAAAACGGCATCACAAAAGAGACATGTGTGTGCTCTGTTACTCTGAGAAGTCATGTAATGAGAAGACAGAAGGCTTAGTTTCACTGAAGACCCACATGATCCTGGCAAGGGATCTTAACTCCTCCACTGAAACACTACCTTTCTCGCCTCTTGTAAGACTATTTTACTTGTGAGAGTCTCAGCTAGCATCAATTTCTCACCTTGTGTCTGGACAGTGCTTAGCACAAACCCTACTACCACTGATGTCCAAGTCCTACTTCAATGTGCACAGACTATTATAAAGCCAGTTTTAAGAACTCAAAGCAGAATATTAGTTCTGCAATTTTCTTGGGGTTTTTTTTCCCCTTGCCATTTAATGTGACATTTAGGACCACACTAAAAACAAAATTATCTATCTTTATTGCAGGCCAATGGCTTCCTCAGCACTATTCTAATATTGCTTAACAAGAAAGGGCAAGAAGGAGAGAGCAAAGGCAGCAAGATTGAGCTCCTTTGATATCTAATTTACTGTACTTTATTCTCTTCAGCTTAATGAAGATAAATGTCCTACAGCTCATTCAGGCAGATAAGACTGCTTAATTAATAATACAATGACAGTCTCATGACAATTGTAATCCCCCAGAGTAATGGTCTATATATTCTGGTTTGAGTTTACATACAATCCCACCGGAAACAAGATGCTTCTGATAAAACAACAGTTTTTCTTTCCACAGAAGTTATATGAACTTGCTCTGCAGGCAAAGCTCTATCCCATTCTACTCATTTTCAAACAAAAAACCTAAACATCATATTAAATGTCTATATGCATGTTCCTGAGTGACCTACTAACCACCTACTTATGCCACAGAAAATGACAGAGCACAACTGAACTATACTTTCTGCAACCCCTAAATGTCCTCCTTACCTGAGTCAGTGAGAAAATTCTCAAAAGCAAATGAATACCTAATAGATATCCTATGCATCAGGGCATTTCAGTATGCTGAAACTCTATATACTAGCTACCAGCTGCACTGGTTTCCTGTGGTTTAAAACACCATCAATACCTCTACACATAAACAATTTGTCTCCACTAACAACAGCTATTTCATCTCTTCAAAACCTTTTAAAAACCATGATGCAGTAGGTTATCACTTTGAGTTTCCACAGAAAAAGGAAAAGGCAAGTCTAATCCCATTTTTAAGTTAAAGCTTAAAGCCTCTTCCCTAGTCACTAAAAGCCCAAAAAAAGTTCTAGCCAAAAAAAGCCAGAAACAAAACTTAGCATTTAATCCCCATATTTTGCTTCAGTCACAACAGTGGTACAAGCAGGCTAAGACTTGACACAAATGCACTAATCCTCCTCTTCTCCATTGTTCCAACCTGAACAACAAGAGATCCAAAAACCCAACTCCCCTGAAAAACACCCCACCACACCAAAGTCAGCTTTACAGTGTGACGGTATTTGTATTTCAAGCAGAACAAAACCAGTTTGTCTGACTTACTCCAAGTAAATTAAAAAAAAAAAATAAGGGGGGTGGGGGTGGGGAATCAATCCACCTCTTCAATGTGCCCGAAGTTCTGGAACAAGATTTGAAAGAACTGAAGTTATTAATTCATCACCTTTTACTACACGTACTTAAGACATTTATCTACATCAAACATATTGTGTGATTAAAGCTGTTCAAACACAATACTTGGCTCTCTCCCAAACTCCAATAATACTTTTCTTGCTATATATAGTCTTCTCGGAGTTTGTACTGCTCTTAAGTGATACAGGGAGAAAAACAATCCTGAGTCCACAAACAAAACAACGGGCTCTCTGGCAGCAGCAAGACAGTCTCATGGAATTCTGACACTTGCCCAACATCAGGCTGGTGCTCAGAAGTTAAAAAAGCAAATCCAGTACCAGGAAAAGAACACCACTACTTAAGTCCATGTTTTAACACTGTGCAGTTCTGGGGTCCCTTTACGACCAAAAATAATGTAGCAATACTGAAGAAGGTTTAAGGAGATGTAGCAACAACAGTCAAAGGTATGGAATAAGTTATTAACGTATAAATATATTAAACACAAATGTATTAAAACAAGTAAGGAAGCTAGGGAGCTTCAGCCTGAAAGCGTTACTTAAAAAGAAGAAAATGTGGCAGAGGGCCACAGAATAACAAGCAAGATGGTCAGAGCACATAGGGAGTGACTGCTGCCTCTTTCACAGAAGAAGGAAGTAACTAGCAGAAACATGACTAAGCATAAATGAGAAGGTGTTTCTTGAAACAGGTATAGACCTATAGGAAAACCTAGCCAAAAGCTGCAAATATTGCAACTTTCTGAAGGCTGAAAGGATAACTGCAAAAGTTCACTGGCAGGGGAAACCAAAAAAAAAAATCCTTTAATGGTTACTAAATATACGGAAACCACATCCAGCTCAGGAAATCCCTGAGCTAAGAATAGTTAGAGGCTGGAAGAGGATTACAGAGTAGTAACATGTGTATCTCCCTCCTACACTTATTTGCTTATGACAAATTTGCTGGGCAAAAGACACTGTCCTAGCAGTACCTTTGGTCTGACCCACTATGATTATTCTAAAAGATCCTAAATCATTGCTACAATAGTTTTCCTTAAAAACAATAGCTTCCAGATACCCCACTACTCATTTCAATATCCAATTACAATTTTATTATGTATCTTTCATAGCAATTTAGAAGTTAAAGAAGGAACACTACTTCCGCAGAGTCATCAACTTTTGGTACTTTTCAAGGTCACAGGACACCTCTTTTATTAAGGCAAGAGCAACCCTTGCTTTTGCAGCTTTCCCTAAAACAGTGCATTTCAAGTACTCTTCCCTTCTGACTGACAAATTTTAATGACTGTTGTAGTAAACACCTCTTACAAGGAATATAAATGTTTAAATCAAATGATGTTAACCAAATCCATTGTTATATTCAAACCACTGTAGATCACCATCCACAGTTACGTCAAATATGCAGTAAATACTTCTACTACAACCTTTCTGAATTTCTCATCCTTTCTCCATCTTCATTACCAAGTGTTCCTAGTAGCTATCAGATCAAGCGAGGTGTCTGTTTCAACACAATCCTCCAGTCTACTGTAAGTACAGACTAGGGTACCATTTAAAGAGGAACAGTAGTTTTATACTGAATTTGATATAAACTAGTAATTGGTATTATTTATGAACAACAGTTTTGCCTACAATAGTAGTAAGACCATTGAGATATATTTCTTATTTGTATTTGGGTAATGCCACCTGTAGACACATAAAGACAAAGCTCGGCTTTAGAAGAGTGAATTAAGATGAGTTAGTTCAAAGTTTTTAGGATTACTGATGAACTTGTTCAAACAATCTCCTTGTTTCTCACCTGTCTGTTCCGTTCATCCATTATTCTTGTGATCTGTATTTTCTTTCTCCCCATTTTCAGTCTCTTTCTTTCGCTTTACAATCCAGAAATACACTAATCCAGGAAGTTGCACTCTTCAGTATTCTAACACATGATACAGTTTTCTTTTACTTTGTCTTCAGCTTGAGAAAAGGTTCCTATTTCTTCTTATAAACCCCTACAAAATAAAATTTTGAAAAAATTTTAAAAATTCAGAGGAATCATCATTAAATACTTGTATGGCTGTAAAACATGTGCATGCAAAAAATAATGTCAGTGAAGAGCCAAGTATTTTCATTATTAAAATATTAACTACATACTTTGTTCCAATTAAAGAAACTCCAACTAGTTTGCTAGATTCTAAATCTGTAGCTTGTAGGTAAAATGACCAATAATTTCATACACTTTCGATTGGATGCTTTTAAAATCTAGTTGTCAAAGGGGATGGTGCCCACCACTCTAAGCTTTAGGCCTTGAGTGACCCGAGGTTTCAAAAATTTACCCACAAAGTTTTGGTAAACTCCATTCATTATTTCAGGAAACCTTATAGAAAAACTGCTTTGTTTCCTGTTTGTCTTTACAATTATCATCACAATAATGAAATAAAGCCAGGAGAATATCAAACTTCTATTCCAAAACTAAAATTACATCTAATTTCTAAGATAGTATCTGGCGTTTCATTAGGAAGCAGGAGGGAGAAGGAAAGAGGGAATATGTTAAGTTAAAAAGGCTAAAGACCACAATAAAATATTTTCACAACTGAACTATTTCACGGCTACCACAACAGCAGTGAATAACGGAGATGTTCACACAGTTACTCTCTATAATAAGCCGTACGCTGCACATTTGCCAACAGCCTGGCACTTGTTTCATTTTGGTAAGATGTTTAGATAAGGGTGCACACAACTTGAGAAGCCAGTGTGCCGTCATATTCTAATCTGGTACTAATGCACGCAACTGACACTTCAAACTTGAAATGCGTTCTTGGTTAAAAGAAGAGCTAAGCCCTATTCCAAACACACTGCCTGAACTGTAGGGAACTGTTGACATTAATTCAACAAAACTGGAGACCGACTGAAAAGAAATAGCCTCTGGAACATCAACTGTATACTAGAAGGTATGAACATGAAAGAGGTATACCTTATTCTATTACCACCAAATACTCACTAAAATAAAGGGGGCAAACCCAGCCATAATAGTAGCTTATAGCCTCTCCAACTTTCCAACCCAACACACGTTTTGCAATCAAGCCTTGCATATTTTAATAAGGGTGTCACAATGTCATATCCTTGAGGCCACGTGTAGAAAGTGGTGCAACCACTTCACCATCAAACAGCTAGTAAGTAGAGACAGCAAGAGGCAATTAGTCACAGGCTACACTTCACAATACATTCATTTACACTGAGGAAACAACCATGACATTCTGATGCAGCTTGGGAGAAAAAAAACAAGAGGTGAAGGAATATCACAGAATGTCATTTTATATTTACCTGAGGTCAACAAAGGACTGCTTGGGTAAGACATCACAAAATACCCAACAGCATTTAGAAATACTATTCCTTAGATTTTAAGATCAACACTGAGATTTTGCAACGTCCATTGGTCAAAAGGATATGCACTAGACATTGTTTATACATCAAAACACTTGAAGGCATGCATTGGCACTGCATCTTCAAGAAAATATTTCTTCCAAGGTGCTCCTAAAAATGGTATTAACAGGTAGCTCAGGTCAGATGAACAAGCATCTACACAACCAGCGGCACACAGGAAGTTTTTTACATGGAAAGCAACAGCTGGCATAGAATTTCACACCTTTTTTGATTAAAAAAAATGACACCAAGAATCCATTGGACTCTAAGCTTCAATTCATAACACATTCAAGAAAAACACAAAACACACAACAAAACTCAGCTCATGCCATGATCCCACATTAAATTTAGTTCTGCCAAAATCTGGTTCCATTCCTTGAACATACTTAGTTAAAAGGGTCTCTACAAGCAGCTCTTAAAATTTGTTTCTCCTTCATGTGTGGCTTTATATTTTAAATACACCACACATTATTGAAGGAGTCTTCTGAATACAGAATTAGCAGATTCCTTCCTCTGCTTTTTAAAAGCACTCACCACCCTAACTAGTACATGGGAACAGCCACCACATGCGAGACCAAAGATCCATCTGGTCCAGCATTTCATTCGTGGCTATTAGCAAATCTCTCTAGGATGGTAAAGGAGGGACACAGGAATAGAATGAATATACATCCTTTAAAGGCAATATTTATAAAGCATTTCTTCCAGATATTGAGTGATTTTTGAATCAGGAACTTCTGATGTCATATATGGAATCTTAGATTTAAAGATGTTCACCCAATCTTTCTCCATGAATACTACTTGTGAATCTGCATAAGTTTTTCACACCTAGAAGCATGGAGTTCTACAGCTTAGTTATGCATCAGGGCAGACAATACATCCTCTCATTTAAGCCTGATCCTGTTAGTTATTTGTGGTATCCAAACATATTTGATATGCTGGGGGGGGGACGGGGACAGGACACGGACACGAGACAGTTTTTTACAAGGGCATGTAGCAACAGCACAAGGGATAACGGGTTTAAATTGAAAGTGGGGAGATTTAGATTAGGTATCAGGAAGAAATTCTTCCTGGAGAGGGTGGGGAGGCACTGGGACAGGTTGCCCAGAGAAGCTGTGGATGCCCCATCCCTGGAAGTGTCCAAGGCCAGGCTGGATGAGGCTTGGAGCAACCTGGTCTAGTGGAAGGTGTTCCTGCCCATGGCAGGGGGCTTGGAACTAGATGATCTTTAAGGTCCTTTCCAACCCAAACCATTCCATGATTTTACGATATTGTAGTCATAAAAGGCAGTAAACAAAGTAATTTTCACCTTTAATGTTAGTCCTGATTTTGATGCCCATATTGTAACTCCCTTCAGTTACCCTTATTCAAAATTAAAGAACCCTACTCTAATCAACCACTTCTTACACAAAAGCCATTCTCTGGCCAGCCAGCCTGTTCTCCTCTCTACCTTTACCAGTTACACACTGTCCTTTCTGAAACACCGTGTGTCCATCATACAAGACGTAAGGTATAGAAAACCATGATAATCTACACAGATGCGTAACAGTATTTTATGTTCTGCTGCATTAGACATACACCTAGGCAAATTTACTAGTGCTCAAAATTTCCCCAAGGAGGAGACTGACACATGCTCCAGAACACAATTTTAAAATCCCTGTGTGGGACCACACACTTTCTTCATATAGTCCTCTCTCATTCACTCAGCTCTTCCACCTTCTGCAACAGATATTCAAAAGCAAGTCTTTGGCATAAAGGCATCAAATCTATTTCCCACTTACAACCTCTGCTTCGACCTCTAACCAGTCCATTGTTGCCTCTCATCTCAGGTCTGTGACTTTCTTCAACCTCAAGCACTTTTCTCAGCTAATTCCAAATACCTATTTACATGTCTGTCCCCATCTGGGTCCAGCCTCTCTCTCTCCACAGGTTGCTATGGACACCAGAAACCTGGCACTGAAACACATTTGCCAAAGGCAGTCAGATCTGAAATACAGCATCCCTTTCATTTTGTAGCCACATACAAAGTTATTTTCAAAGCTAAGAGCTTATGCCAAACCTTTTTTTTCAGTTAAGGGTAGAAAGGATCTTGACACTAACTGTAATAGACAAAAATGTACAGTAAGAAGTCACTTTTCATCCACATGGGAAGTTACCAAACAAATGCACATTACGTGGGAACAAACACTTTTCCTTTTCCTAATTCTTGATCACATTGGAGTTGCAGCTTTATTTTCCAACCTACTAGCCATACAGCCCTAAGATAAAACACTGTGTCCACTATATGGTTACAACCAAAAGGTAATTGGCAAAGTTCTAATTCTGCTAAGTCATAGCTGCATTGCAAACACACTTGGTTAAAATTCTTAAGTCAAAGCCATTTCACCTAGATCATTAACAAGCTTTTGCACAAATGAAGGCAAATTAGCAGACAGACATGAAGATCAATGCACATTTATTTCCGAAAGTAAACGTCAAACTAAGGTGAAGTAACCTTAGTGAAGGTAAAGTTCTACTTCAAATGGCAGAATCAGAATTACAGCCACCAGAACTGCTTTACATCACTTGCATGGGCACACAGAAGCAAAGTTGGGGTTTTTTTTTTATTAATACGAATTTGACACACATGTTAAAACAGTAAGTGTAATCAGAGATAGTGGAGGGAAAAACACCCCATGTACTTCATTATGAGCTTCAAACAGAAAGT